AACTTGGCAGTAGCGAAGGTGAAATTCTGTAGAACGTACCTAATCCTGTGTCCTCTGCTATAGTATTCGTGATTGTTAGCATCGGGTCATTAACTTGGTTTATTACCAAACTTTTCGCCGGCATCGTCAATGAGAGATGCCACGGTCAGTGCAGAGTTACAACTTATCAAAGTGACAAGTGAAGGCAATCCTCTTGACCAATTTTCTCTTCAACCGTTGTGGCACCACTCCTTGTTTCTAGTTTTTGTCCCATCTTCTAGTGCTGCATCTTTTTCTATCAATCCCACATCATACGGCCCCTTTACATATCCACACGATTCTGTGTGGGCCGCTTCAAGTGGATTTAGAGAAGCGTAATCATCTTCACCGGTTTTTAATGTCGCTTACAGGGTTTCTAATTTTCACCTAGCCTTCCCTTTCACCTCGCTTGTCGATTGGTACCTGCTACATCATTGTTCCGTTGCCTGAAATCAGACTGCCTATGAACCTTCTATTCCCGTCCCTGTTTACTTCATCTTCGTGGATTTAGAGTACTTGATGCCCATGCCTAAGCATCTTCCTCTCTCTAGGCTTCAGACCCATCACTCAGTTATCCTCTTTCTCATCTCCGCCCATCTTGCATTTCATTCTTTGGGTCCCTGTGTCCGGGTTAATTCGGAAACGCCGATGTAAAAATCTACCGCTTCCTTTAGCACACAACATTTGTCTCTCAAGTTGTCAGTCACATGCAATCCTAATATACCAGTCAGTTGTTCATGTATATATTGCTTCGTATTCCCCCTTTTATGCTAAGCCATGTCATCAGTCACCTCTCATTAAGGTAGACACACACACTTTGGGTCATGTCTGTGGCTTATCTATACCCTTAGCCTAGCACCTCTAATGGAGCATAGTCTGCCTGCTGCTGGCCGTTTATTTCCTTTCCCAAATCCCACTGGGGGACCCACTCCGGTAGATTTTCAGGCTGACTCCAGGTTTGACTCTTCTCATTGCTATTGCCTTTTCTCTACTTCCATTGTTCCTTATGATCCCCTCCTTGACTGTCTCTTCTTGTTATTAAATCGTTATCCTTGTTTCTAGCGCCTTCTTTTCTCTGTCCTCATTAAATCTCCAAGTCTACCCATGCACTACGCATAATTATCGCGGATTCTTTCCTCTTCCAATCTCATGTTTACCAGGTTTCTTTGAAATAGGGTGTCCACGACCTCCCTGACCTTCCGTGTTTTGGTGTTCTTCCCATATGAGACCAGTCTTTTGTTGTACTCCAGTCAATTATGCGACCGATAAGAGCTATGTGTTCAGCTATCTTCGATCTTTCCGTATCCATTTTTCTGCATAGTTACTGGTGTTCTTTGGTCCTTGTACTGATTGTCCTTCTCATCTCTCCGATGTATTTATGTTTACGGTCCTTGAGGTTTTTGTTGTAAACTCCGGATCAGGAAATCGTTTATTTTTTCTGTTCTATGTGATCAGAGAGTAATAATGAATAGAGTAAATAAGGTGACTAAATTCACTATTGAGTTAGAAAAGGGCAATAAGTTACCTTTTTTAGATGTCCTAGTTAGTAAAGAAGGGAGCAAACTGTGTAGAGATGTATATAGGAAACCGACAAATACTGGTTTCCTTCCTAATTTCTTCTTAAACCATACTTATGCTATTAAGGTAGGCGTAATTAAATTAATGAGATTAAGGAGTTTACGCCTAGCGGACACAAATTATCATTAGCAGCTGGAAAGGCGGAAAAAAATCTTAGTTAAGAACAATTATCCGTTAGGATTAATTGTTAACACTAAAAATTCTAAGAAATAGAGTAAAAGTAAACCATTATTTGAGACAAAACAAGGAATTAGTTCAGGTTCCTAATGTTACTATTCTGCACTTTTTCAAGAAAAATAGGCGAATTACTGAAGAAATGGATAGTCAGGACAATGTATAAAGAAACAATAACGCTTTCCTCGATCATGCCTCCTTGTATATAATCCTCAGACGCCCTCTACAGGTCAGTTAGTTGTAAGTTTTTGTGCTCATGTGGTAATTTTTATGTGTCTGAACATGCGGTAACTACAGAACACCAGATAGAGTGGCCAAAATCCTAACCTTTTGCTGGGCATGTGGACTTCTCAGCTAAGCAGAAGATGAGGAAGTCGATTGAAATTAACAGAACCTAGGACATCCTGAATAAGAGGCATGAATGCAGGAAACTAAGTTAGAACTATCTCTGGATGCTGAATATAATTGGAGAGCGAGCGAGCGAGAAAGACAAAAGAATGTGGAATAAGCATAAAACAGCCAACTAAAATTATGGAATACCTCATTAAGATCACAAAGTGAAGTATAAGAAGTAAGTAGGATCTCAGCTGGTCACCTTTCTTAGTTTAGCCTTTCTGCTAATTGTTCGTGAATAATGCTTTCTGGCTCTGACGATGTCCGTGACATGACGGACGAAAGCTCAGCACTAAGTCATCGCGTTCGTGGGACAGTGAGCCGAGGTCTTTTTCGCGCAACTCAGCAGACAAAAGTCTAAGACAACCCTCTTCGGTCTCCGGTGCGGCCAATCAACGAATCCCTTCCACCCGCATTCTCAAACAGAATGCCAGTACCAATTTCTCTTACTCTCGTTAAATTGTTGTCCTTTCTTCAAGCGCCTTCTTTTCGCTGTCCTCACTGAATCTCTAAGTCTACCCATGCAGTGTGCGCAATTATAGCTGACTCTTCTCTCTTCCAAACGCGTGTTCATCATGTTTCTTTAAAGAAGATTCCCACAACCTCCATGAGCTTCCGTTTTATGGTGTTCTCCCCACATGAGACCAGTCTTTTCGTTGCACTCCAGTCAGTTGTGTGGCCGGAAAGGGCGATGTGCTCAGCTTCCTCGCATCTTTCTATATCCCATTTTCTGCATAGTCGCTGGTGTTCTTTGATCCTTGTGTTGATTGTCCTTCTCATCTCTCCGATGTATTTTTGTTTGCTGTCCTTGAGGTGTATGTTGTAAACTCCGGATGAGGAAATCGTCTATTTTTTCTGTTCCATGCGACCAGAGTGCGAAGTAGTCGTTCAAATATCACATAATTACTAGTGGTTGCTGAGGTGACGTTTCGAAATTCTCCTCCAACTTGTTCATGCAGACATTAATTAAAAAGAAAGCATGAGCACAGAATTGTTTGAATAAATAAACGATTCATGGGAATTATGATTGATAGAAAGTGATGCAGTATTAGAAAGCAGAAAAACAAATATTGCCGAGGTGTTATCCCACATCGGTTGAAGAGAATATCTGTCAAAGAGATTGCCTTCACTTGCCATTGATAATTTCTAACTTTGCTGACGATGGAGCCTCTCTCTGACGATAACTGTGAAACGTATCGGAATGTACCAAGTAATTTTCTGATTCTGGTGATCACGGAATTTATGGTAAAGGACGCAGGGTTAAATACCTTTCACAAGTTTTCTTTATAAAGCTAGAAGAGACTGCGACCATCATAATCCTCATATCTTCGACAAAAATATATGTTTTTCATCATCTACATGATCAAGAAAATGTGTTTTTTTTAATTGTTCTTAAACATTCACAAACTTTATACGTTTTCGGAGTATGCATCAAAAGCGCTGGCTTGAATTATTACGCAATTGCGGTGATGCGTTTTTCTGATTGAAAATTCGTTTAATCAATTTAGTATAGAGGATAGACGTTGCATTCTAATTTAATCACTCGTGACTATTACCACTGGTTTAGCATCAGCAGGCATACACAAATACTAACTCAGGTGCATACAGATACACATCACGTTTAGTTTACCAAATCACTTCCAGTATTCCATTTTTCTGGAGTGTCGATACAGTGTGGATACTAAACGGTTGGTTTTCTTGAGTTGTTGGCTTAGAGCTATTATGAGAATACGAGATAGTTCCGAAAGCTAAGCATGTTTTCACTGGAACCGATTTAGTGTGTCTCATCTACTTCATTTTACTGCATCAGTAAGATCATTCTTATGCTGGCCGAGGGGAGTACGCAGACGTTTTCTTTAATCTCATAGCATATTTTATGCCCTAAATTGAAATTAGGAATATTTAAATATTTGTTAGCCCCATTTGTTTAAATAAAACATTTTCCATAATATTTGGCCTAAACGACGATTTAAACTCATAATTATCATTTTATCGGTATTAGTGTTTTCTGGATTTCAGTTTTTACTATATTTAATTGGAATATCCTCAACACCGATTTTTGCCTTTAGCAACTTACACCTGACCGACTCCACAAATGCCTAAGATGTATTTTTCTTTTTACTAATATATGGTTTTTTTTTTTTTGCTTGCTTTTCACCAGATGCGCTCTGCACCTATCAAGCATAAAGTTGTACCACAGCTGTCTCAGCATCGTAATACAATTGCCAACAATGTGTTCGAGAATAACTCCTCTCTTGTGAGCACACAAATTTCCGGACCTGGGACCGATTCCACTTCCAAACCCCGCCGAACCTCGGTACCTCTGCGATCAGCTGGCATTTCATCAGCCTACAAAAGTGTTAATCATTTGTCTCCAAGCCAGGCCCGTCTCTCTTTGGGCAACGAGAAGTCTAAACATTGTACAGTATCACCCCACACTAAACGTTTATCCCGACTCTGTGGCGATAATGACGAACAAGATCGTCCTCATGCTTCCAGTCCGAATACAGCCAGTCGCCAGAGAGTCCGGTTGAATGAAACGCCGACCTCTGGCATTCCTCTTTGCGCGACTGGTAATACCTTCAATCAAATGGTCCTCGAGGAATCAAAAGGTGATGAATGCTCTGGTCTCACTGAAATAAAACACAATTTGGAGACCTCCGGTAAATCATGTGAATTATCAAGTGCTGCTATTACAGCTATAGACATTACGCAGATGCCATGCAGCCATCATGGGAGCAGTTGCATAATGTCGGCAGATCTATCTGGCCAGGTTCATGTTCTCCCCATCATAGATCCGCGACTCTGGCCCATTAGTACCCTTCATTCGATGGCACAAGATGAACGCCTTAAGCAACGCCATTTCACAGTGAGTCTCCATCTTTTCTCCATATCTAATTTTTTTGGCATGAATTAATTATTTTATTGAGCTTACTTCCATTTCGAGTGAAAGTGTTGAGTGAAGAGATTCAAAGTTCGGTTCCACCAGAAGACGACGGCGGATTCCTCTTGACCAGCTGTCGATAGGCTTTATTGGAAGATTCATGCTGACGCTATTTCCGTGGCAATCTCTTTCGATTCCGGTAAAAAGGTGCTAAGCTTTCGTGCGTCACATGACAAACATCATCAGAGCAAGGTATAAGCGTCACAACCAAATGCAAGCCAACGAGTCAAGAAAACTCACCTGCAAATCCATAAAAAGTGATATACATACCCTACATCTGGCCTCTTTGATCAAGAATAAAGTGATTTGGTTAGTAACGGTCATATGTCAACTTCGATGTCTGTGAGCGTGTCTGTCTCTGTATGTGTATGCGCCTGTTTGTGTTCGCTTATGCACGAAACCCGAAGTGATAGCTCAAAGTAATTAGGACAGGAAAAAGGAACGTCTCTTTTTGGCCATCAAGGTTTGATGACCTTATTTCCCAATTTCTACAAACATATTATAACCATCACTCTGATTGCGCAAGGTCGGACACTCGTCTAGTTTTCTTGATAAGCCTTATTTTGTTTTTGGTCTCAATGCGAGAGAAAGAGTAAGCTAAAAGTACAGAAAATTGACTATCATTAGAACCAAAACAAAAAAAGACAAGTTAAGTCGCCTCCTTTTTGCAAGCGGCTCAACTCCCTCTCTATCCTTGAGTCTATTAATTAAGGACAAGTAATTATTACTTATCTTCATGCCGGTATTCCTTACATTCAATGCATTTCCTATTCGGTTTATTTCTATGGCTTCTCTAATTTTACGTTT